ATATATATATATATATATATATATAAATATACATTTAAAAGTATATAAGCCAAACGCTGTTCATTGAGTCATCATCTACCGATTACAATATCTCAATAACAACTTGTCCGATAATAATAAAGTTTGGAATGATAATTCATCTGATGTTTAATAGAAGAGCTAATACTTGTTTCAGTGCATTTAGGTGACATAGAATGACCAAAGTTCGACACATATAGGAATGCCACGGTTGATGTGGTGAGGACGCTGTGGGCTTGAGTCTTGATTCGACCTTTTATGTGTATTGCACATCATTTGGACCTACGGTGTTCCATTTTTGCGAACGATGCACATTTAGCAAAGGTGTTTATATTTCAGTTTTTAAACATGGCACCTAAGGTTAAATATCACAATGTGACGTAGACACCTTTATGTTTCAATAAAGGTATAATTTTCGTATCAAATTTAATATGATTTTGTTTGTCTTAATTAGTAATAAAACCACCTCTAAAAACAAAGATTTTCGTATAAATTTCGTATAAAATATAAATTTTGAGAATATATTTATACCAGTATCCATTTTATAAGAATCCCAAACAGTGCCCCCACATCCCACACCCCCCCCCCACCAGAGCTCACAACCACACATTTTTTAAAAGCCCCTGAAATATAGTAATATTCTAATGACCAACCAGCATGTACACTACAGAATGTTTTCACTCCTTATTTCAGAAAATAAAATAACACATTACGCACTAAACGGCTATTGCGATATATATATATATATAAAACGAATCTCATTTAGCGCAGTTAATGGGGATTATTTTTTCGTGAAATCAATGTCAATTTATTTCCTTCACTTTCCCCTTGGACAAGGGTCATTTTCGAGGTTTTGGTTTTGAGGGTGGGCCTGAAAAGTTTAATTTTTTTTTTTCATCGACAACGAGTCTATGTGCCGTTTCAGCTCGATAGGTAGACGGGATCTGGGTTAATTAGCCGTCCGAAGATTTTTCCACCCAACCAGCCGGCCACGAAAAAAAATTGAATTTGAAATTAAGGATTTAAAGATAAAATCTTTTCCATATATCTCACTATTAATTTCCAAGTTTTTTAAAAGCAGTTTTGATGGGTATATGTGTATTATCTGTTTGCGTGCCTACTGTAACACGATCGTGGGAATAGTAATGTGAACGGAATGAGAGACATTTTGAAGTGGAAGAGGAAGATGGAAGGATACATGTAATAAAGTGTGGCTTTTGTTCCCATTAAACGAAAGTAAGTTTTTCCTCCTGCGTAATGCATGATGCCTTGACAGAGATGTGGTATTAGATCAAACAGGCAGGAGGAGAGAGTGAGGCTGAAAAATTGAGCAATTCTGTTTACCTCTTAACAAAAATACAGCTAAAGTCAAGGTCAAGGCTAGTACCAAAGTCGAATATTGCCTCTGTCATCGTGGCCGAACAATATTAATAACTAGAGTTTAACCAGAGGGCAATATTTTTATACACCGCATCCGGGTACTTTGAGAAAATACCCGTTGGGTCCAAGTGTTATAAAAAAGTTAACTTTTCATTTTGTATAATTTATGTCGGTCTCAACCTGCCGGCCATTAAACAATATGTCTACCAACAGTCCTACAGACAGTCCTACCAACAGTCCTACCAACAGTCCCACCAACAGTCCTACAGACAGTCTTAGAGACAGTTCTACACAATATTCGGGGCTCTTTATGTGATTAACATAATAATCGCCTCCGAAAATAAGTGAACTATTGTACCCGAGTTTAACTGTCACGCATGACGCTCGCTTTTCTCCAGCCTTTTTTTCTCTCTTCTCTCGGTGGTGCTATTAATATAACACGTATTGAGTAGGAGAACGGCCGTTAGTGAGGAGGAAGCAGCAACACTAGAAGCAAAATATATAGAAGAAATGCACGTAAAACTTGAAAGTTTGATAAGTGAACAATATGTTATTCATAGTTTTCCCTGAAAAAAAAGACAAGATAAACATTATGATGAAATCATATTTTGTTAAAACTTTAGACACGTAATTTTCTCGTTTAACGTAGGTATTTTACATGCTAAAAGATTTTCATCTTCATTTCATACGTGTTTGAAGTTACTGGCAGTCCGTTCGCCTGCTCATTAATTCCAAGTATTCGATATGGAGTTAACAGGCCATGATCATTCAGGGCACTATCATTGTCTGTGGGCGTGCTGTGTGGCACAATGTCAGTGGTTGATTTGTATGTGAATTTGTGGATAAACAGGAATATAACATGCGTTCACTTTATTCAAAAGATGGGAATGATGAAATTCAGAGTAGTTTGTAGAAAAGAAAGGAAAGAATATGTTAAGTGGTGCAGGAAGCTTGAGATTTTTACATGATGCACAAAGTGTAAGATTTACTGTAAAACTTCATTAGTTGTGTTCGTTTGGAAGGGACTATCACAAAGACGGTCATTCAATGGTCGTCCAAATTTGCAAATATATCTACTTTCAAAATTTATTAATTTATTTAATGAAATTTGGAAACAAAATTCTCATAATTAGTTGTTCTTACATAAAACAAAGTACGTTATTTTGAATTGAAATAACAAATAACATGCCCCGTAGCGATGCAATGGTGATAAATCTTCACGTAGTTAACTGAATAACCAAATCCAACAGACAACAGAGCAAGTCAGTTTCCTTGTTGTATATAAATTGATACCAGATTTGGTTGTGGGTACAGACGCTTTGACCCAATACTTTGGTCGTAATTTGGTCCACAACTCTGTTATCTATATCTATTTCATGAAACATTTTTTCCCCAGTCGGCTAATCATATCAACGCATTAGCTCCACCTTGGATGTCCAAAAACTCAATTCGTTATTTAAAGAAAAATTTGTCATATAAATTATTATAGTTCACGTTCTCTTAAACACAGTTGCGAAGCAAGGTTTTATCGGCTACTAGTCAATTTATAACTGTTTATCAAATTTTTTGGTGTTCAAATTATGTCTTCAACAATTACATGAAACTTTTTTAGATTAATGTCCTGTCAGCTGATTGCAAATTTTAATTTAGAAATTATCTTTAAAATTGTTTTCTTGAATGAACTTGACCTTACGTCAGTGCAATTTTGGACAAGGTTCTAATATGACATGCGCAACATACGCCGCCAATTCAGATCAACCTCATGAGTCATTTGAGAAAGTTTACACAATACAGAAGCTAGACCAGTGTATCATAAAGACGGAATGTTGCCTACAATAACTTGAGTAATTATTGGTTAACTTTTCTTATCTCCCTTCAATTTCAATTTCCTTGATTGATCATCGCTTGATTAAAATAATCACCCGTAAATCCAAGAAAGAGTAAGAACATTAGTTGGAAAAATAGGTTTCTCGTAAGATAATAATATCTTTTCGCGTAAAGCTTGTAAGGCTGATCATGTTCACCAACAATAATTGCCAATCTTCCTTGAACATGCATTTGTCTGAATGATTCTATGTCATGGATTGGATGATGTGGGAAAAAGATCTACAGCAGCTGGGAATCTAAACCGCGATGGACAGTTAGAAAGAATATCAAATGATAGAGGGGTGAAACGGGAATACTGCCTAAACCCAAGAGAAAATCTACTTAAAGGCAGACCTAGGCTTAAATGGATACACGATATGGACGAAATTCTACAACAGTTAAAGAATCCAAAATTGGAAAAAAAAAAACCACCAGTTAGGTCTGAGTGGAAGGAGGAACTAGCGAGGCAGGCCAAAGCCGTACAGGGATGGACGGATGGATGGATAGATGAATGGATGGATGGATGATCACTTGAGATAAATTATCCATCTCAAAATTTGTTTGGGACGAACGATTATGTATCTCCGAAAATGTTATCAAATAAATTTGTTGAACTTACCGATCTTAAAAGAATAATGAAATATTCTTTTGAATTCTATGATTATGTAGCTTGTCAAATATTTACATGAAAATTTGTTAAAGTCTTTGTTCCAAATCTGACTCTATCAGTTTATATTTGTTATATATCATATTAGGTCAATATTTTTGGAATGTCCTCAAATTTACGTATCTCTGCTGGCAACCCTTGTTCCGATATAGAACCGGGGAAAAAAGGCACACTTTTCTCGTGGTATCCCGTTTTTGTATTTAAATATAATGAGTTATGAAATGGTGACGAGGGAACTCTAATGTAGTTGGGGGGGGGGATGGGGATTCGTTAACCTCGCAGCTCATCTAAGAGAAGTAAAACTCTACATTCAAGCCGGGTGATGGAGTCCCGTAGGGGGTATACTATTGACACAATGAAAATGCCGACAAATCCAGAGACGCTATTGGCGCAAAGCTGTATCATCCATATATGGTGTTCCCTTGTATCATCTAGATGCGTGGAGAGATCTGATTTGCTGTGTTAGGAACAGGCTTATCCTTCTAAAATAAAAAATTCATGTCCTTGTTAGTTTGTTCCAGCGAATATTACGGCATTGTCACTTTGTAACGGAAGGATGCCATGGAAAGAAAAATAAAGAGAAACATACTGTTTAATTAAACATCAATAAATGGGTAAAATTGCTTTAAAAATCAAAGTTTCTCTATGCCAAATAAATCAACCAATCTTTAATTCAATTCATAAATAAAAAATGAAATTGTAGTGCTCTCAGAATAAAAATATCACTTTTCCCAAAGTTTATTAGATAATGATTCTTCAGTCTTGTCGACTCAGTATATGTTACTATGTTTGTAAAGCACAACCGTCCCTATCTGCTCCTTCAATGATATAAAAAGTTCTAATTAAACTCTGGGGTGCCAAGATATGGTCTGGATCACCCCCGAATGATTGACTCGGTTGCTTCGGCTTCTGAACGCTCTACTAACAGAGCATTAGTTAGAACTAATATATGTTTACAAATGTAAAACAAACATAAAATTCTAACTATATATAACCCCCACCCTCCCTTTATTTAGACGTCAAAATTTATTTTAAATAGGCCTTGGCGGATTGCAGTTTTTTTACACCCTCTCCGGGTCCGGGTATTATGAGATGATACCCGGTACGTCTACGTCCAGGTGTAACTAAAACATTATCTCCTCATGTTGTATCATGTGTTGCATCCATTGACAATATTGCATGCATGTAACCAGTAGGGATGATCGAATGCGTCACAGTTGAGGACTTCAAAACATACAGAGCTGAATAATAGCATTCAAACGCAGTGGTTCTCAAACAATTTTTAATGCCACGACCACTTTATAACATGTTCCAAGTTGTGGGGATAACCAGAATGTAGCTTAAAATGGAGAAACAGATGTTGAGAAAAGGGGGGGGGGGCGGGAGGGAGGGGGGGAAGGGTTTCTTGTTAATGAAAAGGCTTTGGTACAGCATATCTCAATGGGGTTGGAAGAAAGCAGAAATAAGGACTAAGAAGTGACCACTTTATAACATGTTCCAAGTTGTGGGGATAACCAGAATGTAGCTTAAAATGGAGAAACAGATGTTGAGAAAAGGGGGGGGGGGCGGGAGAGAGGGGGGGAAGCGTTTCTTGTTAATGAAAAGGCTTTGGTACAGCATATCTCAATGGGGTTGGAAGAAAGCAGAAATAAGGACTAAGAAGTGTGGAAGGGTTACGTAAAGGGGTTCTGTAAGTCCATTTATGTTTAAGGGTTTTCTGCTGTTGCAGTGTAGTCAGAATTTAGTAACACTGACACTAAACGTTCAAATACAGTAGATGATTACGTTAGAGGAAATGAGAATGTCATTCTTTTTTAACACCCGGACCAAGTTCCATTTTTTGCCGGGTCCGGGTATGTGCTGATTTTTATTAATTTGAATAATTGTCATTCGTTTTTAGTTCCACTTCCTAGAAGAGTTACTGATAACATATGATATTGTTTAGTATAAGACATCCCTTTGACAGTGGCCGGCACCGGATCGCCAAACATGTCTGCTCTACTCTTAAGTACACTATCTTTGATACTTCTGCCCTCATCAGGTATTTATGTCTATTCGTTGATGCCTGCTTATAAATATGCTTTTACGTTGACATTGTTTATAAGTTTCTGTTAAATTTTGTTAGTCACTATTTTTGGGATTCATGCTTAAGAAAAGTTGCTAGAATAAGTGGTAATACTAACTTTAAAGCCAAAGAGTGGATCAATACAAATGTATTTTTCAGGGTCATACTTCTTCATCATGATTGTTTAGTTTGCATTCAGTCACAACAGCTTCACTCTTAAGATTGTGTTAATAATTAGCAAACATAACAGAAATCAAGTTTAGAGAGCATCTTGTGAATTTTTTCTTCACACCATCTTGAACTTAGAACTGAGATTCTTTAATATTTTTGAATGCTCCATCGTTTAAATTGTTTTGTAGGAAGATGAGGGGGCAAGTGACTGAAAAATTCTCTTTCAAAACAGGTTCAAGGATAATTATAGATTATATAAACCAATTTCTAAAGCTGGAAAAATACATTTTCAAAACATGTTATTGTTAAAAACTTATATTGAAAAAATTAATCATTTATTTAAAGCTACCGGACTTCACTTCGATGTCCAGCCAACAAAGATTGAGATCGGTCTATCAATGCGATTTTACCTCAATTGTTCTTTCAACCATGGAACTGACCCTGAGATGTCCAGCCTGGTCGCGCTCTTCATATCTCGCGCTCAAGACACAACAAACGTGGATTTTCATGAGATTGCGTCCGTCAACACATTTTCTGGTAATGTCAGCAACATGATCCATGACAACGCTACCATATCCGGTGTCATCAACAACCTCGGGGTGTCATTTCTGAGTATGGAGTGGAAGTTCCCAGGCGATCAGGTGTCGGGTCTTTACAAATGTGTCGCTAATGGTGTTGACGGTACAGGACACCCCATAAGTGTCATGTCTACAAGTCAAGTTACAAGTGAGATGCCGGGTACCAAAGAATTGGTCCAATTAGTCCGTGATCTCATGATCAAGATTGACTACGCTCCAGAAGACAACACGTGTATATCAGGTACAAAAGAGTCAGTAGAAATGTTTCCTCTAAGGTTTGTTAATTCGTTTGCAAAATAACACAGTTGTGTGTGAAGTTTTACAGCCCACAAACACAAACACACACTTTCATGGAAATTTGCTGCGCGATAATAAAAACTGCTACACGACGTCTGTGAGATAGCCGCGCGGCCGCGCAGCCACGCAGCTTAAAGGGAACATTGGTCAGAAATGTAATAATACATCGCATTTAACAATGTGAAAGTCTTATTTGTAGTCTCAAGTTAACTTTATTTAGAGATATTTCGAAAAATCAATATATTTTTATGTATTACTGGGGACTATTGATAAATGACTGGATACAAATTATTATTTAAGATTTTAAAGTAAAGTAACAACGAAAGCATCATTTAAAATTTGGAACATTTGAAGTCATTAAAGGGTCCGCATTGGAGAGTACTCAATGATTCTGCGCTTGCTATAAACGTGATGGAAAATGTCATGTTAGTCAGTTTCCTTCTTTATGGTTAGGCTCATAGCAGGAAATCGTGAAGTAGTCAATTTCTTCTAATTGAGCTGGTACAGAGGGTAGTGATGAGGAATGGTTTTGTAGTAAATTTCCTTGATGTTTCTTGTTAGATAGAGTAGTTCAAGATTGTGTAGGTGTATGTACTATGTAGAGCGGTATTTGAGATGACGTTAATAAAGGCTTAAAAGCTCCCTGATGTAGGTTACCGGCCAGGTCGCAAGAGTTCCGAGACAAACTTGAACGGCCATGTGTTCGTGACTAAGGCGAGCCGCCTAGTTGGAGGTCATCGACTGTGGTGAGGCATGGATAGAAATAGGCACGCCTTGCGACAACTGCCCTTGATACGCTACATGTACATGAGAACAGATTGACATCCATACCGGCTGCGCCATCCCCCGGGTTTCCATAGGCCATGCCTACCGTCTTTGACCGGCACCGAGGTGGAAGTTGTGCTACTGGTCAGCCATAAAAAGGTATCTGTGTCAGGAATAAAATTACACTAGGAAACTAGAAGTGAGATCGCTGATAGAAACGGCCAAGGGTGAGGAGTTAGTACATGAAATTAGCAGATAAAGATTGGACATCCTTGTACGAAATGATATGGAAAAACTTTGGAGAAACATCAACCGAAGAAGACAACAGAATATGTTTTAGTGGACGGTATAACCCACACAAACAAGGAGTCGACTTCCTCGTCCATAAAAAACATTAAGAACAGTATTATGAGCTGTCGGTAAGTTTTGAGTCGGCTCATCACTCTTCGTCTAAGGGCACCACCGTTCAACATCACCTTCAGATTATGATGAAGAAAAAGTGGATGACTTCTACCATCAACTCCAGGATGTGCTGAACCAAGCCCCCCCCCCCCCCCCAAAAAAAAGACGTTCTTGTCGCTCAGGGTGATTAGAATGTCACCATAGGAGACGATGCCTATGCAAACTGGAAAGGAACGTGTGGGCGCCACTGCAACGCAACTTTTAACAAGAGAGGTCTCAGGCTCTTGGAATTCAAAGGCTTCAACGAACTCATACTGACCAACACATTGGGTGCACATAAAATATCCAGGAAAACCACATGGCATAGTCCCATTGGGAAACACAACCATCTGATTAACTACATCATTAGTTATATTAGACCTTTCTTAACGTTTGATGCATCAAAAACGCTGATGTCTGCTTTCGTGCTATCACGTATGGACTACTGAAATGCTCTCATGTCGGATCTTGCAGCTTCGCTCCTTGATAAAATTCATAAAGCACAGAATAATGCGGCTCACATGGTTTTTCGCAAACGCAAATTCGACCATGCTAAAACACTTCCGAGAGAGTTGCATTATCTGCCTCTCCGCAGTACAAAATTGCAACTTTGTGCTACCGCTGCTTACATGACCTGGTGCCATCTTATCTCAAAGCACTCAAGACGCCTTATGTACCCACTAGACAGTCCCGCTCATCTGATGGTGGCAAAATATCGATACCGCGTGTTCGCCTTGAGACTTACGGCAAGCGCACTTTTGCATTCGCTGGCCCAACAATTTGGATCGCCCTTCATGTCGTTCTAAGAAACTGCCAGTCACTGGAGTCCTTTAAAACCGATTTAAAATCTAGTTCACAAACACCTTCAGGGGTGATGCTATCTACCACCTTTTTCCCGTTAATGTATATTGGCTTGTGTTACTTATGGTTGAAATGGGATGAAAGACTTTGACTTGGTATGCTCCTATGTAGTTTTTGTAATGTTGCGTTTTGTATCTCAGTGTGGCAAAATATAGATTGTTTCATTTATCTTTTAATATCGTTAACTTTGTTCCGCACTTCGAGCCTTTGGTGATGATGCGTGATTCTCAAAAAAAAATTATTATTATTTTTATTATGGGCGATGTGAAGGCGGTATCGGAGACCACGCCATTGAAGTTTACTGTAATATGCATGCATTCGTGAAATGACTGCATGATCAAGAATAGTTGTAGGGGGACAACCTATTCTATACAAGATACTGAAACAGGCCACTCCGACTTTTCAAGTCCAATGGCTCTGTCATCTCTATGAAATCAAGGTATAGGGACCTATGTTATTCAAGACACTACTCCTGCAATTGGCGTAAGAAGAAATATCATGTCTATAGTTGAACTATCGCTTCGAAAGCCACACTAGGCCTCTAAGGAAGACGCGGTTCTCCAGACCCTGAAATTGTTTAAGGGCCGCAAGGGCAAACGTCTTTCCGACTAGGCCCACTTGAGAAATTCCTCGGCAACTATTACAATCACTACGGTCCCCTTTATTATTTTGATTGATGTAATTGTACGGAATTTACGATCTATTAAAAGGTGGTTGTGTAACTGGGGTAGACATCTTGTGAGAACACCTTCCTTCAATCTTTGGATTGTATCAAGTATTTTTGAAAAAGAGGAACAATGAATTTTTGTTGGTTTGGGTTAGGGAGTTGGCCTGAAATTTTAACATAATATGTCATCGGCAACAAGTCGATGCGCTTAGTTTCAGCTTGATAGGATGAAGGGAAGTTGCTCAATTAATCTTCCGGAGATTTTGCCACACACGAACGAAAGCGATATAAAAAATAAAGGATTGAAAAATAAATCTTACTACGAATAAAAGAGTTCAAAAACATTATACTGAAATTATGTTTATATTCATGCCCTTCGGAGCGTAGTTTCATACACATTAGTGACGCCCAACAGTGCCGTCATGCACACGTGACAGATCGCGTCAAAACCTGGCACGTGATAGAAAAAAACATCAACGTGCACGCTGTTCTGAATGTGACAGTGATCACATGACCAGATGTAAAAAGTATATAATGAACGCTCTTCACAAATCCCCGTCCCTCTCAACCCGTTTTTGTACATGCCCTCAAAAGTGGTTTTTTTTTATTCACGCGTGACCACTCTTTGTTTAGGCATACATGTAGACAAGACTGAATAATGTACTGACCATTCATATTTAAAAAAAAAAAATTATTGTCACATTTACATTTAAAATATTTTAAAAAAACAAAAAAAAACCACTATTTTAGGTTGTTGGCAGCGCAGGCTGGAACAGATGATGAAGGCGAGGTTTGAAATAACCTCTTTGTACAATGGCCACAGATATCTCTTGTCTAAAATTTCCAACCATGCCTCCGTTGCCGTGGCCCAAGAATCGTGTGAACTCTACGGAGGTTACCTCGCTGAGATTGATGATGCGGATGAACTGCTGTTCGTACAAAATTTTATAAAGTCAAACAGAAATGTCGATTTTATATTAGTTTTAATTGGCGGCACAGACGAAGGTCATGAAAAACACTGGGTTTTTGAAAGAACTGGAAGAAATGTTACGTTCACTAAATGGGACCCGGGCTACCCAAGCGTTGACACGAGATCTAATTGTCTCTACCTAAGAGCAGATCTTTATCTCTGGATTATGGGAGACAATGTGTGCTTCCGGACAGATAGCAACTATAATTCTAGGTATATGTGCGAGTTACCCGAGCAATGAAGGGAACATTAAATGATATACAATTGATCAAGTGGTAAATTTTTAAAAGCTTTCTTCAATCTTAACGCTAAAATAAAAAAATAAAAAATAAAAAAAATAACATTTTTTTTAAAATTCAATTAGTTGTCTTTCTGGTTCAATAATGACATTGAAATAATGTAACGTTTTTCAATTTCCATTCCCGCATTTTCCGTATTACAACTTAAGGGGCTTAAAAAATATTCGTTTATTTTGTAATTAAGAGATTTCATTTTATATGTTATCATACCTAATTTCAAGGATATTCATATTTAAGCTCTGGAACCATGTTTCTAAGGTTAAATGTCACCAAGTGACGTAATTTTAGGCCATCGTCACATTATGACGAAAGCATACTAACGATTAGGTATATATATTTATATAATGTATATATTTAATGCCCCTTAAATACAACTTTTAGCTCATTCATAATTAAAGAACAGTTTGTAAGACTATAATAAATACAATAAATTTAAAAATATATTTTTTTGTTTTCTTTTGAATGCATGAGACGATGATTTGACAAGTTAAGGTAAGATCATAAGTATTGTGGGCTAGTAGATTAAAATACAAAAGCCACTATTGAAAATTGAAAAAAAACACACCTTTCTTCAACAAAAACAAACTATTACAAAGCCATTAATCACTTGACCACTTTCAGTTTAACATGATTGAAATAAATCTGAACAGGCAAAGAATACCTTAACACACATGGTTTCGTTGTCTAGTCTTGATTTACAACTCATTTGTGTCTATTGCCTCAAGCCTTCAAACCCCTAGTGCATGATTCCCTCACAAAGTGGCAGTGGAAATCAGTGAAGTTTCCTCATCAACACCAGGAACAGAAACATTGCAAATCCCATCTACATGCATAGGAGCCAAAATGATCAATACATTGATCGTGGGCCCTTAAGATATAGAAGAAGAAGCCCCATCAGCTTATATCGCTGGTTGGGGTCTTTCAATCTTTTTATTCGTTTTATCGCCACCCATCACCTCAGGTTTTCTCAATGGCTCATCACCATTAAACACGAGAAGGCATGGTCTTTAAGACTACAAGAAAAGTCACAGGAATTCTAATAGTAATTTCGATTTCAGACTCTAAAAAAAAATATATGGAAAACAATTATTTAGAATATGTTCCATGCCAGTGTACGTCATTCCTTCTTCTTCAGTGCGTAGGTCAGTGTCGTAATTAAACAAAAAAATATATATTGATATAAAAGTCAATTTACTTAAGCTTTTGAAAACGTGCTCCAACAACTGGCCCGTTTGAGAACCCATGATTGGGGAATCATTTTATTGGCGCTAAATTCAAAGCAGAAATCTGAGATGGTAGCTCTCAATTAGTAATGCTTTCTTAACACATGAATCTAGTACACACACCATTTGTACCTGGCAACGGATTAGTTATAGATGATCCTCTTTCAATGTTACCAGAGCTGATGAATCAGAATGCTTGATGTTCATCACTTCATCCACGGAAATTGAGCTGATAATTAAAGATTCAAGGTGGGTGAAGATTCTATACTAAAATTCCCGATAAATGAGATTATTAAAAACACAACAAAATAACTGCGTCTGGTGTGTAAAATGTTCCTTCCCCCCCCCACCCCTTCTGAAACAGTTGGTGAAATAAATCCAGTGGTGTAAAGTGGGCTGGTGATTAGAATAATAATATGATTCAGGGGCAAGTCAAAAATGTGCAGTTGCAAGCTTGGGATTTTATTTATTTATTTTTTTTTTGGGGGGGGGGACTAATTGGGATTCTTATAAAGAGTGTTTCTTGTAAGCATGTTTTGTCAAATGTTTAGCTCCACTTTTCTTTTTTTTTATACGAATATCTTTGTTTTTAGGGTTTGTTTAATTTTTACTGCACGGTTGACTAACATGTCAATCCTACCTGGCTATTCAAAAACTATCTCGGGACGACACCGGACGAAAAAAAAAATCAACGTTACCACAGCTCCAAGGTTCAAATGCCAGTGTTATGTTTAGTCTAATCTCTTCTGTCTAGTCCTGTTGACCCACATACCATGTTTCTAAGGCAAAATTGTCATCATCAGCTTCCTAAGCTGAACTTATCTGTGAATTAAGTCCTCACTCGAAGACTTGAATCATCATACGAAAGCTTTATCTAAAAAAACGACCTGCCACTTGAATGTGGTGGTAGCTAAAAAGTCAAAGGCGGATATAGCATTCTGATATTACTAACAAATATATATATATATATATATATCCTCAAACCAATATTTTTTTTAAAAGTCCAAATCAACTTTTATCGTACATAAGCACGTTACAGCTTTCTTCTTAACCCCATTCGGGTCCAAGTATCTTGAGACAATACCCGGCGGGTCCAAGTATCTTGAGACAATACCCGGCGTGTCCAAGTATCTTGAGACCATACCCGGCGGGTCCAAGTATCTTGAGACAATACCCGGCGGGTCCAAGTATCTTGAGACAACACCCGGCGGGCACAAGTATCTTGAGACAATACCCGGTGTGTCCAAGTATCTTGAGACAATACCCGGCGTGTCCAAGTATCTTGAGACCATACCCGGCGGGTCCAAGTCTTGGTCCGGATGTTAAAAACAAGATTTATCATTTTAAATAATCTATTGCATCCAATGTAGAGGACTGAAAATTGCATGTATGGAACAAGTAGCGATTGTGAATGAATCTAATTTGAAGACTTCAGAACACGCATAGCCCTTATAGTATATACTGTTAACCCAGCGGTTCTCAACATATTTGGTGTCGCGACCAATTTATAACTCATGACAAGTTGGGGCGAAACACAACCAGAGTTTATTCCTCGAAATTGAGAAACAGATGCTGAAGAGGGGATGGAACAGAGCATTTTTGTTAATAAATAGATGGTGGTTCTGTAAACAGGCTTAGAGGAAAGCACAAGGAAGTGTGGTGGGTTTTTTAGAAAAGGGGTTCTGCAAGTAAGTCCCCAGAAAAGTTTTGATTAATCAACACCTGCATATAGTTTTACGTGATAGCTTTTCTTTTTAAGTTGAAGACAAATTTTTGTTTTTTTTGTTTTAAAGAAGGAACTATCAAATATTTCTGTTAAATTAGCTACTCACATCTTCTCAATGAATCATTTTTTTATGTAACTGTAGTGTAGTTCGAATGTAGACACAATAAGAGAATAGTGCGATCACTGTAAACAATATTCTAAATGAAAAGAAAAACCCACCCAGCCCAAATTTCTGAGATACTCAATCGACAAATGATTTCTATCATGAATCCCCGAGCAGGTTCATGTTGTCGTCCACTACCAATAACACTTGACGTCAGAAAAGTCAACCATGGAGCGGAGCTTCGTTATGTGAGTTAATGTTGCTGGTCACTGGTCGGTTAACATTTTTATTTTTTCAGATTTTGATTTTCAGATTTCTGATTTAAATAACTATAGTTTTGTATCATCATTATGGCGATAACATACTCGTCATCCTTCATTTCAGTCAATGGCTTCACTTTTCAAGGGTTCTTTTAAATTACATTACCATTATCAAAGTCTGTAACAGAACTTGGAGGAGTCCCCCTTTCCCTACATACACACACACAAACATTAGTTACTCAGTATTATCAGCCAGTCAGCATGTGAATGATATATTAATTGTAAAATAGACAGTGCCATGGTTATAGCCAAAGATATGCATCTTTCTAAGACAACTAATGTGATTTTTTTTTTTTTTTACAGCCAGTGCATTATTATTTTTAGAGTTTTGCAGGTTCTTTTAGCTTACGTTTAGTTTCACATGAATTAATAATCAGTTTTCTATTCTCATTTATTTAATTCAGGTAAAATGCACACCCAATTATGTAACCACGATGTATTCGTTTATAAATGGCACTATTCCTTTCTCGCATTTTGGGTTAAAAACATGAAAGACAATGAGAAGAACATAACCCCTGTATTCTCACAACCCGAACAGGTTCCGTTTGCCGGGCCAGCGTAGTTCATCGTGTGTGCCACATTTTCATAAATTGCCATTCGTTGTTATGTCCACTTCCACGAGCGGCTACTGATAACATATTTTATTAAGTATAAAAGGGTCCATGAATAGAGGCCGGCACCACAAGCCAATTATGATTCCTATACTCTTAAGTACAATAGCAGTGATAATTCTGTCTTCATCAGGTATTTATGTATTAAATAAATTTTATTTGTTAACGTTTATTATAAATACGTTTTAAGGCTGACAATGTTTATTCGTTTCTGCTAAATTTGTATGAATTAGTTATTTTGTTTGGTTTAAGACTTAGAATAAAAATGCTAGAAGAAGTGGAAATACAATCTTCAAGCCTTAATGTGGATCAATATAAAATTTGCCAAGGACATTCCTCGACATCAAGGATGTTTCATTTGAATTTTTTCACAGTTCCTTTACTTTAATGGTTTTATTGTTATAAAAATCAAATTTATAGAGCAACTTTAACATTATTTTCTCCCGATTCATCTTGAAATTCGAAAATACATCTTTATTTATTTTATTTTTTTGGGGGGTTCACACTTTTAATATTTATGAATTTTTTTTTTAGCTGATAAGTGCTCTTTCAAAAATATTTAAAGGACAGTTTTAAGAAATATTATGTAAAATCAATTCTAAAGCCATAAAAATAGATTTTTATAATATTCTCTTTTCAAAAACTGTCATTGAATAACCACATTAATGGAATTCCCAGGTACGGCACTTCTGTTCGATGTCCAACCAACAACGATTGAGATCGGACTCTCTAAGCGTTTTTATCTCAATTGTTCATTCAACCATGGAACTGACCCTGAGATGTCCAGCCTGGTCTCGCTTTTTATATCTCGCGCTGAAGACGCAGCAAACGTGGATTTTCATGAGATTGCTTCCATCAACACATTTTTTTGGTAATGTCAGCAACATGATCCACGACAACGCTACCATTGCCGGTGTCATCAACAATATCGGTGGGTCATTTATCAGCATGGAGTGGAAGTTCCCAGGCAATGAGGTGAAGGGTCTCTACAAATGTGCCGCTAACGGCGTTGATGGTACGGGGCATCCCCTTAGTGTCATCACTACAAGTCTCGTTACAAGTGAGATACCCGATACCATAAAGTTGGCCCAAGTAGTCCGTAATCTTATGATCAACATGGACTACGCTCTAGAAAACTCTTGTACATCAGGTATGGAACAATCAGTACTTTTGTAATCAATGTATCGCATTTAATAACTGGAAAATGTTACTTGAGGTCTTAAGTTTATTTACTTTTTTAGTATTTCGCACAGTCAAAAAAACTTTATTTAAGTCTTTGAAGTTAATTTATTATATAAAAATTATGTTAATAAACTTGGAGCCTATTGCTTATTTCTTCATACTAGAGAATTTTACCGGCGTGGGATAATTGTCAAGGTAGTTTTGGAAGAGCCTCAACTGTCAGGGTTCAGTTATTCCTGGTCCCTAAGATATTTTTGTGCACGTCCAGGACACACACAAATCCCCTTGGAGGATGGTTAACCACTTGTTTTGACAAGAGTAAATTCTGTTGTAAATAAAATCTCACGTGTCCCGAAAAACCTGCATCCTAAATTGCAATGAAATTAATTTCAAAAGATTTTCCTTATTCTAGTTGGGAGATATAATCTAAGTAAACTGTTTGAAATTACGAATTCTTTTAACTTTTTTTCATTTAGTCCTACTCGAGCGTATACTATACATACATTAATGATAATAAAAAATACATATTTAAATTTTGTGTCAGGGGAATAAATTATAATCAACTTGCAATATGTATTAAATATATTTGTCGGGCTTCAAAACAAGGGAATTAGGGTAAATTACTCACACTCTGTTCACGAAGGGAAACCATATCATTATGCTGGTACTTTTGTTATATCTCTGTCACTCAGACCGAGACCATGCGTCATGAACGAAGCTCGAGCTTATCAGTGCTGTCGCGCAATAATGACAGATCACGTCGAAGGAGTCTGCAAAAATTTAAAAAAAAACTTACATGCAGTCATGGGCGCCCGCAGGTAGGGGCAAGGTGGGGCACTTGCCTCCCCCTGGATTGATTGGATAAAAAAAAATTTTAGACAAAAATAAACAAAAAAATTATTAAAGTAAAGAGAAAATAAAGAGAAAGTAACTAAGCTGATGTCCTGTCCGTTCGTTCACCATACAAATATGCTACAGTAAATTAAAACTACTTTAAAACATTACTAAAAAAATTTTTTGCCCCCCCCCCTGGAAAGTTAATCGATTTCTTTTGCCCCCCACCTGGAAAAATAAATCGATTTCTTAAAACTACATTAAAACCTTACTAAAAAAATTTTTTGCCCCCCCCCCTGGAAAGTTAATCGATTTCTTTTGCCCCCCACCTGGAAAAATAAATCGATTTCTTTTGCCCCCCCCCCCCAGAAAGTTTTCTGCGGGCGCCCATGCATGCAGTTCTGATCGTAACATTATTCAAAACACCAGAGGCCGAAAGGTGTGGGACTCTCGAGACAGAACGGAACTTTGAACAATTACACCCTGTAACCTTTCTTCACAAACCCCTTTTGTCTCTCAGCCCATGTGTGTACTCGCCTCTTAGGTTATCCGAGATACGTATTTTTTTCCCCCCACACACCACCGATCTTTAATGTGGGATAAAACTTCGAAGACTGATTAATATATTTGCAATTCATTTCTTAATAGTTCATTATTTTTACGTTTGGTTTTACAAAATTTCCAGGTTGTTGGCAGGGCCGGTTGGAACGGATGAAAAATGCGGTGTTTGACATATCCACTTTATACAATGGTCACAGATATCTGTTGTCTAAAATGTACAACCTTGCCAACGTTCCCGTGGCCCAAGAATCTTGTGAACTCTATGGAGGTTACCTCGCAGAGATTGATGATGAAAATGAGATGCTGTTTGTACAAAAATTTATGGAATTACATAGAAGTGATAGTTATATATTTGTTGTGATTGGAGGAACGGATGAAGGCCACGAACATCATTGGGTTTTTGATCGAAGTGGAAGGAACGTCACGTATACGAAATGGATTTCCGGTCACCCATTAACTAATCCTACACTTAACTGTCTCTTCCTACATCGAGATTATGGCTGGACTATGGATGATTATTTATGCCTCGACATTAATCGAACCTATAATTTTAAGTACCTCTGCGAGTTACCCGACCAATGACGGGATCTCTGAATCAAGTATATGAAACTATAAAATGTCGTTTGAATATTTTTCTGTAACTTTCAAAAAAAGAAAATAAATAAAAAAAAATAAAACAGTAATATCTTTACTGTAATTATTTTTAATGTATTCCTTGTTTTAGGTTTGAACTTTAATAAAGTATTTTCAAAAGAAAATAATGATCCTTGATAAACTTTTACATTTTTGTTACCGGAGTTGTTTCATGAACTTCGATGGTTATGGTTTTTTTATTATTCGTTGAGTTTTTTTTTTTAAATTTAGATTTTATTTCCGATGTAACCATAAATAAAATGCATCGTATTTTGACGATCAACGATCAATGACTTTTTAAATGTTTGTATTGATTACATCTTAATAGATGAAGATTACTTTAATATATATATATATTTTTTTGTGTGTGCTTTGAAAAGATATAATCAAAGATGTGATTGCTTATTTTTTTTCGAGATAAATTACAAATGCAATCTTTCTGTTCATTAACACTTTATTTTTTTTTTTTTAAATAATTCGCTTGCAATTTACCTGAGGCATCGTTTTAAAAATCCGAAAATGCTGTGTTTTCCCAAGTTTTCTCTACAAGTCTAAAACAAACTAAATCTATAACCAAAAGAATGAACATCTGAAGTAATTTAATTGTGTGTCCATTAAGACGAGGGGATAAAAAAGTCTGCTTCTGATACCATGACACTTGTTATTTTTGTGTTTTTTTTGTTGAAAGGTTGACGGTCACTCCAAAGCCATTCCATGACCAAGAGAGTCGACCTCAAAGCTTCTGTGTTTCATTAGTGTTATGTTAAGTATGAATAGTCGAACAAGTGCGGTGTACATAATATGAGAAATTAATCGAATTTGAACAATTTGTCATCAGACCTGATGTGTATGGATACTATTTCTTTGGAACACGTGAAGACACTATTGGAGGAACAAACAAAGAGAAAGACATTGCAAAGTGCCTAGGTGCCGTATTGTTTCAATGTTCAGCTTACTGAAAATTTCGCCGAATATGCTCCTTTGTATATAGTTCATGATCTTTCGGGCTTAAACTTTGCCGTTGTCGCCAGTCTTTGCGGAGAAGTAATTTCCTCTAGGAATTTGAAAAAATAAAAAACTCCATATGACAGACTAAAATGTTTTGTCGGGACTATAAAAGATTTAAGATCATAATAATCTGCTAAAAAGAACCTTCTACTCATTACTCGTATTAATTAAATCAGCGTCTTTAAAAAAAAAATTAGTGGGATTTTGAAATCCATTGTTTTTCTTTTACTGTGCAGCCATCGGCAAGGTGTTGAAACCAGAGCTCAGTACACAGAGTTGTCACTATCTGCTTCTTCAGCTGGGTTTAACTTTAAATTAGGGCATTTCTTCACGCCGAGATTTAGATACTAGTGTTCCACGCTAAATTAGGGGACGTCCAACTGAGAGGTCAACACTAGATTAGGGGGACGTCCAACTGAGAGGTCAACACTAGATTAGGGGGACGTCCAACTGAGAGGTCAACACTAGATTAGGGGGTCGTCCAACTGAGAGGTCCACACTAGATTAGAGGGACGTCCAACTGAGACGTCAACACTAGATTAAGGGGTCGTCCAACTGAGAGGTCAACACTAGATTAGGGGGACGTCCAACTGAGAAGTTAACACTAGATTAGGGGGACTTCCAACTGAGTAATCAACACTAGATTAGGGGGACGTCCAACTGAGAGGTCAACACTAGATTAGGGGGACTTCCAACAGAAATCAACACTAGATTAGGGGGACGTCCAACTGAGAAATCAACACTAGATTAGGGGGACGTCCAACTGAGAGGTCAACACTAGATTAGGGGGACTTCCAACTGAGAAATCAACACTAGATTAGGGGGACGTCCAACTGAGAGGTCAACACTACACTAAGGGGACATCCAACTGAGAACTCAACACTAGATTAGAGGGACATCCAACTGAGAGGTCAACACTAGTTTATGGGGCGTCCAACTTAAAGGTCCACACTTGATTCTTGACACACGAAGTAGTGTTATCATTAAATCGATTCGTCACTTTGCCTTGAGTAATAAATACAAGATGTTTGTTGCAGTAAATTAATTGCCGTTTGATATACGAGAGGAAACAAGTAGAACTTGAGTACGCTATAAATTACATAAAAATAATCTGAGGATGAAGTAATGTCCTTGCGCTGAGAGGCGCATAGTTGTGTCTACAACATCCCTTGTCATCATCAGACACCATATCTTATGCTCGGGGTTCCTTGAGCCACTGGGACTTTGTGCACTTGGTCAACGTTGCCCTACAGATATACCCGAAAACTAAATTATCGTATATACTATTTAACTTGAATATTTGTTATCTATCATTCTTACAACCATGCAGTAATTTAAATGAGCAAAATTTATCGTGTTTACCTCTCTCAAAGTCACAATACATTGCTCTTTAAAAATTTAATATCTCTTCATCTCAGTTGCTAATCACATAAATAATGTTTTAAGCATTACCCTCGCTTCGAGAAAAACAACAACTTAAAATAACCGATTCCATTGAAAAGATGGAATTTTTTTTCCTCAGTTTTATTTTTAGCATTATCCAACACTCCTTTAAAAGACGGTATTGCCTAAGGTCAATCTTCAAGACTAATTTTCTGGAAATGGAAACCACACTAACATTTCTTCTCCTAAACTAATGCAGACAGTAGAGAATGGATACATAACGATTTGAAAACTTTCCAAGCATTCCGTAGCGTACAAATAATTTATATTTTTATTTGAGCAGTCTTTGCATTATATAAACAAACTTAATAACCGACATTTTTAGACAATAATTTTGATAAAAAGAATAACTTTTATAAATCACTGAACACGATTTTAATAATTTTGTTATTTCTGATATTTCATCCTCAAAGTTTATGGTCGCCCCACCAAAAAAACGTGTTGTTTTGACCCTATTTTTTTACTTTAAAATAGGAAAACAAAAGATATAGACGAGAAAACGGATTCCGTTATCAGTATCTCGACTACAGGGAGGAACATATGAAACGGATATGTCAACAATAAACATTGCAAACATTGGGTATAAAACAAACTTACTCTTTACAGTAGGTGGCTTAAATGTGACGACAGATGGCTGCTTACATCTTCAGAGCAATACTTTGGCTGATTCTCTCTTTATCGGGTATTTTATATATTTGTAACAGTGATTTTTAAAAAAATGTATACATCAATAACGGTTTTAAGTTGACAATGTTTTAAAAGTTTCTCTTACATTTTGTCATTTATTTAAAAAAAAAATGTTTTTAAAAATCCAAAACATTTAATTAAACATTCTAGAAGTTGTCGAAGTAAAAACGTAAGTTTTCCATCTTACGGGAAATAAATATTTATTTTAGGAATAAAAAAAGAACATCAATTATAAAACTGTAATAAAGAGAGGTTAACTTGAAATCTTACTATTTGCACATAAATTATCATTAGTATTTTTGTTTATAACAGCCATCAGTCTTAGATTTAAATCAAACTCTCGAAACGATTCGATACACATTCTATAAACTATTTAAGACTCAAAACAAAAAGTCAGTTTCGTTTTGATTAAGTTTGTGCGACAGTGGAACGCATACGTGACGCTCAAATGATTGCGATATCTGACTTAAGCAGATTGTGTCAGAACGATATAAGTGTCAAAGGTTTAAGTATGTGTGTTGGACATTTCGGCGCCCTAGACATGGCTAAATAAGGGTTAATGCCTTTGTGCTGACCTAGTTTCTTGGAACCATTTGTCCCCTGTCGAGTATGAGCGTTCATTAGGAATTGTTGCGACTCAATATTATGTTCATTAGTTGTTGAACGCTTTTCCCGCGCTTGACTATTATAGTTAGTGAACGCTCTTCCCGCCATTGTATTTATGACGTATTTTTATGCTGAGTCGTGACGTATTGTCTATGCCGTGTTGTGACGTATGTTTTAGTAGTGCGGCAGTCTTGAGTGGAACCTTGGAGTGATAGGATGTTTATTATATTTACTTAGATATTAAAGTTATAGTTATTATGAAAAGGAGTTGAGTTTGTTAAATGATAGTGAGAATAGTACGACGCTTCAACGTATGAAAGAACTGACGAATGTAATCAATCCAAGAAGACGGTAGGAGTTGACATCCCCCCCCCCCTTTTTTGTTTTGATATTGACGCCACTATTTTTACAGGTACACAAACATTTTTACATTGGGTTGGGGGGGGGAAGAGAAGGTGGACAAAAAATACTTCAGCACAAAGGGTAGAGCATCTTCTATATATATTTTTTTTTAAAATGATTTTCCAATTTAAATTGCATCTTTAAGATTTTTCACCACTACGACCGTGAAGTTGGACTGTAGATGTTTGCTGATTTTTTATTTTTTTTATTTTGATAATTGAAAACAATTAAAAGGTGAATTAAGTATTTGGTAAAATTATTTCTAAAAAAATAAAAATAAATTTTCCAAACATGACATTGTCAAAAAAATATTTGATAAACATGATTTCTTGAGTTTCCCAGCAACCGAAGTTCAGTTCGATGTCCAATCAACAAAGATTGAGATTGGACTCTCTAAGCGATTTTATGTGAATTGTTCATTCATCCATGGAACTGATCCTGAGATGTCCAGTCTGGTCAGGCTCTTCATATCTCGTGCCAAAGACACGGCGATCGTGGATTTTCATGAGATTGCTTCCATTAACACACTTTCTGGTATTGTTAGCGACATCGAGCTGGACAACGCTACCATTTCCGGTGTCATCAACAACCTAGTGGTGTCATTTCTGAGCATGGAGTGGAAGTTCCCAGACGAAGATGTTTCGGGTGTCTACAAATGTGTCGCTAACTGGGTTGTTGGCACCGGACACCCCATAAGTGTCATGTCTTTGAGACAAGCGAGATACCCGATACAAAACATTTGTTGCAAGTAGTCCGCAACCTCATGATCAACATTGACTACGCTCTAGGAAACACGTGTATATCAGGTATGGAACAGTCCGTAATTCGCATTGAAAACTTTAACTTGTAAACTCAAGTTAAATTTATTGAGAAGTAGTTCAAAATATTTTTTGATGAAAACAACGGAACTGTTAACAAATGCACGGAGACTTAACATTATTTAAGATTTTGAAGTTACGTTAAAATGTAAACATAATTCAAAATATGGAATCTTTGCATAGTTGTAGTACGCCCGACTACAGTGCAAAAGATCCACAGTTTTTTTAGCTTATGTGACAATTGTCACGGTGGTTTTGTGCGAATTTGTCCTTATCCGTCCAAACCCACCCCCTCCTCAATTAGCAACG